CATTCACGATCTGCAGAAGGTGGTGAGGACTGCGAATTTAGTGAGCATTGCGAATGGACATACCTGATCGAACGCAGGGAATATATAATCTGCAAATTGTATCTCTGCAATGGCTGTGTGTCCCATGGACGCAATTCCGATTCCGAACCCAGCGATACCTTGCTCGGTCAAAGGAGTGTTAAAGACCCGTTCGCGACCTGTGAACCTCATGATCGGTGGTCATGCGCGACCAGGACAATGGGACTCCTACCGAACTCTTCTGCGAGGCCCTATACGGGCATCCAGAAGAGTTAGATTGATGAAACACGAGGGCGTGGACGAATCCTACCATCGTGCACCGGAATACACCACCGAAGGCAACGTCCTCTCCAAACACTACAGCAGTGTCATCTTTCGCAAGTGCGGTGCTAGCGACTCATCAGCACTGCTCCACAAAAGCTGGTCCTCTCGCACATACCTGAGTGCATCCCTCACGGCTTGATACAAGTTCATCTTCCTCGTCTCACGACCCCCAACGATGTTCCGCACGGGGCCGGAATCGTGTTCGTCAGACCACGTGAGTCCTGGTGTACGAAGTGCGGTCTCGCGGGTTGCGCGGAGAAGTTGTGATGATGCCACTGCGGTGAGGTGGCCACCTGCTGGCGGTGGTTCAACAGCAACTGTTGACTGCCAGCGTTGGGCACATCGTACCTTGCAGAGGAGTGTGTGAAGGTCGGTATGATTGAATGGAGACAACTTACGAGTCCAGTTAGACGGTTCAGTGGACGGAAAGCAGACGGGCTGGAGATGAACATGGTCGACAAGATGGAAGTGCAAGATCCGGGGCATGTCAGGGCCACGGTAATGGGGACTATTTAACTGAAGTAGCGCTTTGAGCGTGGATCCGTCCACACATATATATATATATTATCTTTCACTTCGCCCTCATGATCATGCTTAGAGAAGTAACTACACCAAAGGACATCCGAGTCACTCAATTGCTCAAGTACAACTTTAAGAAGCAGTACTAGTTTCCACAAGTACCAGCGCCTGCAACGGTCCTTGTAGTCAACGTACCACAGACGCCCGGTGCCAGCCGTGGAACCATCTGAATCACAAATAGATCTCGCGGCGACAAGAGCCTTGACCATGGAGAGCGATAGCGCATTCGTGGCACCAGAAGGTGTATACTCCGTTACAGAAGAACACAAGCCTCCCGCCGTGCCGGCCCAGTCTGCTGCCACAGCAGCATCGATATATCCCCCACGTCTCTCTACCATCACTGTCCACTTCAATCACTCGAAGCATGGGAGTTCTCCCGGTCTAGCTCAGCTGCTAGGTGCGAACCTCACCAAGGACTCGCGAAGAGAGAAGGACAAGGAACGGGAGAAGGACTCGAAACCCCTCCTAGACGAACGCAGCTTGTCTTCCAGCGACACCCCAGATGACAATTATACTTCAGCAGATATCACATCGCCCCAGACCACCCTCGCACAAGACTCAATCATTTCTCCAGAACCTCGGCATAAGCTTTTTGCACATCCGTCTGTTTCGGGGAAGAAGAAATCCAACTATTCGAAACCGAAGCATAATATGCGCACGACTTCTTCTACGTTCATCACTCGCATGCAAAGCGCTGAAGGACTCAGCAAGATCCTTGCCAGTAAGCAGGGTGAGGTGACGTTCGTGTTTTATAACACCGGCAAGGCTTTCCTCTGGTATGAGGTTGGGACGAAAGCCAAGGTGACCACACATGCATTCCTGCCTGGTGATTCTTCTAATGATTGACAGGAGCCACTGACGAGAATCAGCTTCTCGGCGTTTCCGACGTGCCACGATGTGAACCCCCTCACTGCTTCACCTGTGAGACTTGATGTCGTCATTGGGTTCAACACTGGCGATCTCGTTTGGTTTGGTGTGTCCAAGCCTAACATTTCAGACCACATCTGCTAAGTTATGTTATCCTGTAGATCCTATGTCCAGTCGTTATGGTCGCCTTAATAAACAGGTATGACCTACCGCTGAATTAGTCCATTTTTCGCTCACACTGATTTCAGGGTTCCATATCATCCTCCGCTTGCACTGCAGTCCGCTGGGTCCCCTCATCGTCCACTCTCTTCCTCGTTTCCCATGCAGACGGTACGATAATCGTGTACGACAAGGAACGTGACGATGGGGTATTCAGCGTGACCGTCCCTGGTGCCCTAGCCTCGACATCAAATCTCTCGCATCCCAATGCACCTCCGTCACAAACCCAGTTACAAGTGTCAGGAGAATGGGATCCATTAACGACAATGCATATTACTATCCCACCATGGCATCCTGAAGCCACCGTGGGCGGAGGTGCGAAGGCGGATAAGGGGGTTGCCAAGAATCCGGTGAGTCACTGGAGGTTGAGCAGACGCGGCGTTATTGGTACGTGCCTGGAACTGGCGCGTGTTTGAGCATGCTGAATCTTAAACACCCAGATTTCGCGTTTTCGCCCGACGTCAAACATGTCGCCGCGATATCAGAGGATGGTTGTTTGAGAGTGATTGACGCGTTTGCTGAGCAGTAGGTGGTATATTGTCCATGGCTTGTGCTCTTTTGACAGCGTTGCAGGTTAATCGACTGCTACGCGTCGTACTTTGGTGCCTTGACGTGCGTCGCGTGGTCACCCGATGGCCGACTAATCCTGGTACAGTCTACTTTTCACTCTACGGCTCTTTTATCTCATGCGTCACCCGTCTTGCAGACCGGGGGGCAAGATGACCTCCTGACAATATTCTCCCCGTGGGAGCAACGCGTGGTCGCTAGGTGTCAAGGACACTCTTCCTTTGTCTCGGCGGTTGCATTCGACGAGCTCAGGTGTGACGGACGGACGTATCGATTTGGCAGCGTAGGAGAGGACAACAAGCTTATCCTGGTCAGCCTTTTCCCTTCTCTTGTTAACTCATATTTGTCTGCTAATCAGACGCACGATTTGCAGTGGGACTTTTCCAGTGGTGCACTACATAGGCCAAAACTCCAACATGGTCACCATCCACGTGTCTCGATGTCATCCAGTGTCTCATTGACCGCGGCATACCGTCGTGGGACTGGGTCAACAATCCAGCTTGTGGCGCCCCGGTATCATCCTGCGCCGTCAAGAAACGAGGTATCTGTGGTTCAGCCAGTTTTGGTATGCCATTCTCTGTTGATGTTCTCACTGTTCTGAACGAGGATATTGGTGGTACCTGACATAGGTCAAACACATTGAAGCTGACCTGCTCACCTCCCTGGTGTTCCTCCCTCGCGCGTTGTTGACAGCGACGAAAGCAGGTTACGTAAGGATGTGGGTCCGTCCACTCGTGACTCATGGGAGCCCACGCCGACGCGGACACGGGAGACAGGTGCTATCGATATCGGATCTGCAGGACATCGTCGCCTGAGGAATTGAGCGGGGTGCTCCAACTTTGAAGGTCGGCTCCAACGATGGAGTGATTTGCTGCATTATGAACATCTCCTGGATCTCGTCCATGATATCACACACCTCATCCCTTTGCCAATTATTCCCGCTCATCTTACGTTGAAACTGTACAATAGTAGCCTCGCCGTACGTTGAGTGCGTTATGCACGGAACGTGAGCATAACATTAGCCCTGCTCAAAAGAGCACATCACTGGGCTCAGTAAACACAAGCATCAAGGACAGCATTTGACACGGGAACAGTACAAGGGGAACATCACAATATCACTTCACAGAAACTTCAATAGCCCATCTCTCAATCCACCCTCGACGTACGAGTGCAGCTTCAAGGGCCACCAGGAACAAATCTCGGCGCCACGCCCTGATACCAAATGCCTCCACCCACATCGTGCGCGTCCTTTGTTCTCCAGAGATCAAGTTGTAGACGCGTCCAAGCTCATGTTCGTAGTCCGCCGAAACGTTCACGAACGAGTCGATTACCAGATCCGAGTCATAGGACACGGCAAGGTGTTCGAGAACAGAGGACAGGGATTGGGGTCTGCGAGGCAGGCCTTGAGAAAGGATGAAAGGGAGCGTAGAGATGATTTGTGCAGTGCTTAGTGTTCGCAGACAAGTCGAGAAAGATGTAAACTCAAGTGTCGCCTTGGACCCCGAGTTTAAAGAGGGAATGATACCAGGGGGAAGGCAATCGAGGCAGATGTGGGAGCCGGAAGTCCGGGGGGTTGAAGCAAGCGGGCTGAGAAAGAGGCTGAGAGGAAGGGAGCTTGGTGTGAGAGTGAGCTTCATACATGCTAGGATACCTGCGAGACGTGGAGTAGACTTTGGCCATACCTGACAGTGCGAGAATTCGGCGGGCTTCCGGATGAATGACCTTACCATGCAATAATGTACATCGTAAGGTTGATCTGTACAGCCGCATATACGCACCTGGCATCTTGGAAGGCTACTCAATTGGCAGTGTTTCTGGCATCAGCACGTCGAATAGATCGTGTGCGCACACACCTTAGCGGCGATCCACCACTCGAAAGCCTCGATCCACCATTTCCACTCAATGCTTATGCCTATTGTACATCCGTACACTTTCACCCCTGAACCAATTAGGTCTGCCAGATCATTGATTGGGTCACGAAACTCAATGATACCCTCTATGATGTCCCTGACTATCGCCTCGAGTGGCACAGAGATACGTGAGTGTGAAACGGAGCCGGCGCGTCTAGCGAGTTCGATGTAGCGAGTTGGCCAGAGGGAGCATGTTGGTGTTATGAGCGTGAGGATGGCCTGGAGAGCAGTCCTGGTGCGAGTGCGGTCTTCTCCACGAGATCGTAAAACGATGAACAAGAGGGTCAGGAGGGCAAAGAGAAAAAGGAATTGTGTGGCATGCTTGGGGAGGAACACGAAATAGTCGGAACGAACGTCAAGCCCAGAGTGCTGGACTTTGTCCTGCAATATTTTCCATACAGCGGTAGTCCGTTCCATAGTGACATCAATGTCAGGGTCATGACAAGTGGTTTCTAGGAAGTTGAAGCTCGAGGTATAAACAATAGTAAATACAAAACATGGCGTAGCAGGAAAAAGCGACGCCAGCAGGATTCGAACCTGCGCACTCGAAGAGTAACAGATATCGCGTATAGCATTCGAATCTGTCGCCGTAACCACTTGGCTATAGCGCCTTCAGTGACCAGGGCAGTTGTAAGCTTAGTACCACCCCCGTTTACGACTTTGTATTATCCGATTGCCTTAAACGCCTTGCGCTTGAAAGGCCTCCTGGAGAATCCGCTTGATTAAAATCCAACTGGTAGCTTCGTCATCCCAAGGGGTTCGATGAGGACCAAGTAGCATCGTCATTTCGGTATGCTTGTAAAATATATAGCCAGCCCGAGCGGGTTTGATTACCTCTAGGGAAACGCCTGACCTAGGCTAGGTTTAAACTCCGGCTAGGACCTTGTAAGCGTAATCACGGTGACAAACCAACCCTGACGCCATCCCATCACGTTCCAACTTCAGTTGGTACCAAGTTCAAGTTGTGTCAGTGAATCCCAGTGCCAGGACTCCGCTAGTAGTGATGGATTGGTGCGTTTCTCTCATGCATTAAACTGAGGTTACCTTCGGTCACTGATTCATTCAATAGTTTGGAGTTGGACATTCGACAGCAGATCTTGTCTGACTTGGCTACGCTCAAAAGCGGCACCCCAGATGACCTCTTGAGTACTCAGCAACTCATTCAGTCCAAAGCTCAGCTCTCCACGTCAGATGAGAGCTTGTCGAATGGCGAAATACGCACCCTGGATGCAACTCCAAGAATATTCATGGTATACATTTCCGTGGTTACATTGCTGCATCCTTTCCTCTGACCGACGCGACAGTCCGAAGCACGGGCACAATGCAGTATTGCTTTTGGAGAACTGGTCGTCAATTTTACAGAAGAGCATATTCACAATCAAGTCGATACGCTTACTACTGCTCTCGTCGAATCTTTGCACGATGCACCACAAGTGGATTACGATCAATGCCTTTCTTGGGACGGTGGGCCTGTTCGCCACAGTATTTTTTCTTCTTTGACATCGTCCTGCAGAGTGGGCTTTGCCAGATCAGCTTGTTTACTCGACTGTTTCCGCTTTACTTCGCATCTGTTCCACTCACGAGGATCGTGTAGACCAGGCTATTAATGTCATTCTCGGCTTCATTGCTCAACTGGTCGAAGGACTTAAGACGGCGAGCTGTGAGTAGCTATGCACTATCCCGACATAGCCCACTAATACCTATCAGCCCTGGAGGTCCTGACTCAACTCACTCCATCCTTACACGGCCTTTACCGCGCAATAACCTCAGCCCTCTTTCCCTGGACGACAACACAATGGCGCCTCATATCTCAGGCCCTCGATGGTCTGGTCCAAGACTCCGTTCTCGAGCGCATCAACCGCCTCCTCCTTGACATCCATCAAGAAGCAGGTGGTGACTTAGAGACGCCCGACACTTTCCTCTTCTGCCATACATTCATCTCGCGATACATAGCCCATGGGCGACCACTTAGTGGGTATTTTATCGTATGCTGCATCATGGAGATGCAGTGGACTATACTTGCTCAAACGCTCGCCGCGGTCCCTGTGGAGGGTGTCAAATACGGGGCACCGTTGAAGGAGGCCGCTGCTGCTAATAAAGCTTGGTTGAGTCTGATGCACAAGGCTGCGCAGAAATTGAACATACAGGATGGAGAGACGAAGGATGTTTTATTGTCCACCATCGAGGGGTCTTTGCAGTGTTTCAACGATCTTCTGGCGCAGATTCAGGACATGGAGACTGAACTGCCTATTGATACTTATGTATTGGAGACCATGTCCGAAAGCCTGGTCAGTTATATTTCACCCGCGAGGGGCCCATGCTGGCAATCTGACTTTTTTCTTCTTCAGAAATTGGCATCAATATGTTCAGTTGCTCTTGGTGAACTTGATTCTGATCTCTATGCGCGCCTTGGTCTGCTTCTGAGCGATAGCGCTCCGATAATGGACAACCTTGTTCAGGAGGCGGCTCTAAAGGCCATGACGGTGCTGGTTCAGAACTTCCCAGAAATTGCAAAGGAGCTTGTGAACCACCTGCGCTGCTTCGTTACCTCCCCTTTGTCCATATTCGAGTTCGCTTTCAACACCGAAAAGCGTGCTCCACCCCCGCTTACGGCCGCTGCAAAATGCTTTGGCTTATGTATCAAGGTAAGAGCATCCCTTGAGACCGCCTGAAATTAACACCTGATTGCATCGGAAAGCTTGCGCCCGGAGAAGATTCCGTCATGTCTAACATGTACTCTCTCCTGAACTACATTGCCGCCACGAGCAAAGAAATTTTCGAGTCCTCCTCACAGCAACTCCTCAAGAACCCGCTTTATACCTCTGCTTTGTCATCCTCCACTGACTACTTGACCTTCCAGAGCGAAGAAGCGGGTTTGCGTGACCGCTCCGATGAGGAAAAACGTCTCATCGGGATAACCACTATATCCATCGTGACGCGTCTTGCTCTCGAATTCGACAATCAGGAGGTAACGAAACTGACAATTTCGATGCTCTTGCAAAGACTGCGCACCGCGGAACCAACAGTCGAGGCGGCTATTGCTTATAACCTGGTAGATTTAGCGTTGGTTGCGCGTGAGGATGCGTTCGTAGACATCATCCGTGCATTTTCGTCCATCAATCATGCAGCGAATCCGGAGGATCCTAGGTTCTCAAACAATATGGTAAAGTTTAATTGTTAAGTGGGTCTCATTGAATCCTGACCGTGTTTAGGTGCTCGCGGCCCAGACAAGGCTTGCTCGGGAAATGGGCAGAAGGTCTGACCTCTACGACGTGTACTTGGCAGAGCTCCTCGCCCTCTTCTCGGACAAAGGTGTCGCGATTCAGGATGCGGCTGTATCAGAACGTCATGGCAAGGTCAGCTATGGTCTCCCTCCTTCTGACACCTTCATTAACGAGGAGGATATCCGCCAGACTGAAGAGATGATGGAACAGCTCGCTTCCCTCCTCCTACCCATCGAAGCCCTCCTTGATCACGCTGATTTCTCACCACACCTTAACACGGAGCTGATGATTCCATTCAGGAACATGTGGTTTCTGTGCATCCTTTTCCATTTTACTGCTTCAGGCGAGGAGAAGGAAAGGGAGAAAAGCGCCATGACGTGGCTGCTGCCTGCGCTTGGAAGGATTGCTCTGAAGACGCCGTGTTTTGTGCTTGAGAGCGTGCCTGACGCGCCTAGTGACATGGAGTATCGCACAGTCGTGAGGCGCGAGTACGCCCATTCAGTAAGCGCCTCAGTCTTTGCCCGATATTGTGATGGGAATGTTGCTGATAAGACGCAAGGTGCTGGCGAAACATCGTGCGTGTCTTACACGGCACATTCCCCTGCGGACAAGCGAGATACGATCAATGACAACCGGTCAAGTCATCTTCATGTTGACGATGCATGACATAGAGACTATGCGCTCGGCGGCTGGACTGCCTTCTTCTTTAGTCTCTTACTTCATCAATACAAGCTTGAACAAACACACGGCTCTGAATGCCTGCATGGAGGCAGTTGCTGAAAAAGTATGTCTGCATTCTCATCTTGGTGAGACATATGGCTCAGGAAGAGAACAGGTCATCCGAGGCTGTATCTCTGACCTGAACACTCAGGCTGCAGAACAAGCGTTGCCAAACCACCTGTCCACCGAGTTGTGCAACCTGCTTGTGTCCAGCACGCACCGCACCGCACGCGCTCGCGACGTCGCGTCCAAGTACCTCAATCGTTTGATCACTTCGTTCCCATCATTGATGTGTGACCCGAAGCTCGTTTATGCAATTCTCGAGTGTCTTACGCTCTTGAGGCGCGCATGTGAGAATGAGTACACTGACGAGGTTTGCATCTCCTGCATTGTCTATGGATCCATCCTTCTGATGGTGCTATTATAGTATAATCCGATATTCGAATTCCATTCGGAGCGCACGGGAGTTAATCTGCAGTTGACAGATGATTACAGGGTCCGAAACGAGGTTTTGGGGCAGTTGCAACGCAATGCAAATAATTGGTTTGAGCTTGCTTTGAGTCGTGCGCCGATCGAGTTTCAGTCAACTCTTCAGGTTTTTAAACAACCCTAACTTGGAAGATGCGATTCTGATATTCCTCACCTAGAAATATCTTGCTGCAACGCAATCACTCACTGGCTCGGATGCTGCTGAGCTCGGCGCATCTGTGGCAGAGAAGTTTGCAAAAGCGTTTGGGCCGGTACATCGGCAGCTGAGTAAGTGACTTTACATCTAATATGTAAGTAGGGTCCTCATGTCTTTCAGCTTCTCTTCGTTCCTTGTCCAACTTGGAGTCTGACCGTGCAAGAGTACTAGCAAGTCAACTAGCTAGCAAAAGCTACTTTGCAGGCGAAGTCGCAGGCCTACGACTCGCTAATTATAAAGGTAGGATGATCATGCGGATTAAAGAACAGGCCCTCACATTCCGGATGCCATCCAGCGCAAGTCATCTCGGATAAAGTCCCTCCGCAGAATGCGCCTTCTGCTGACATCCCAGCTCTGAAAGAGAAGATGGCAGACACAATGAACGCTATACGTGGCAAGACTAGTCCTCTAACCATTCAGGATCTCAAGCGCTTGCTGTTTCGCTGTGCTGCGACTCTGATATCGTTGGAAAAGGTGCGCAATGAGCTTACCATTCCACGAGTCCTGGGAACTTAATTATCCGTAGTGCGAGTATTCCCTTGTACATTACCTAGTCACATTGCCGTTTGAGGTCTTCACCCCAGCAGCCATAGCTGCGGGTATCGAGGTTTGGACGTGGGTGATAGCTGAGAAGCCTGTTGTTGAGGTTGCGCTTATGTGTGAGGTTTTGTCGGCCTGGTTTGGCACTGTAAGAGACAGGAAGGGTGTTTTTTCACAAACCCTAAAGTCAGGCTTTTGAACTTGATGCTATCATCGTCGTTGCAGCTTGTAACTAACCTCCTGCAACAGCTACGACGATCCGTTCTACCACCCGATCGGGTACAGCCCTACGGACAAGGAAGAGATTGACCGCGCAACTAGTCACGCTCGACGTCTCCTGGTACCGCACACACTCGTTTTGCAGATGCTGTTCAGCCGGTTACAAGCTGCTCGCTATCGTCGATCAACGGTGATGTTCCTCATTCAAAGGCTCGTATTGCGT